TCCCCTCAGCCAGATTGTTGTTGCTCCTCCTCGTCATTGCGTTTATTTTATTTAAAAGAAAATTTGTTAGGGGGCTTTTATAGCTCTTTTTAGAAATTAAATAAATCATTTTATTGGGGGCTCTTACAGCTCTTATAACATTCCATACATCAATTGTATCAAGCACATTTGTACATATATACATATATTGCCTTATAACATTCCATACATCAATTGTATCAAGCACATTTGTACATATATACATATATTGCCATCATCATTTTATAAACATTTACTTTCTATTTGAGCCCTTGGAATCAGCTCCTTCTTTTTTCCCTCCCTACCCCCTCCCACTTTCGTGACCCCTTGATAAAGTATAAATTATTATTGTTTTCATATCTTACAGTAATTGCTGCCCCTTTCACCCACATTTCTGTTGTTCATCCCCCTTGGGGTGGATTATTCGTCGATCATTGGGATCAGTTCCCCCTTCCTCCACTCCTTTCCCCTACCTCCTGGTATCACTACTCCTAACTCTGTACCTGAGGAGTTTAATCTGACCTGGATTCTGTGTGTCATGAGCTCTTATCTGTACCATTGCACATGCTCTGGGCTAGCCAGACTGAAAGGTAGGACTGAGGTTATGATAGTGGGGGGTGAGCGAGATAGTTTATTGTGCCAGCCTGGCCGATAAACACAAGTGGGATTAATTGAAGGGCAGAGAGATAAATGGCTCAGTAAGCCTCACCTTTCTTGTTTTTTCGTCTTTGATCGTCAGACCAGTGTACGGCTGCCTTGCTTGTTCTGTGCCTCAATTTACAGGCAACACTACCTGTGGGACGCCTAGTCTATGGACTGTGTTGCTGTAAGTTGAGGTCCCTTAAAGACCACATGATTGAAATTTACATCTCTTGAGCTGGGGTCTGACAGTTGATGACTTGGCTGACAGTTGGTGACCTGCCTTGCTGCTTTGCTGCCTGTGCTGAGATAGCCTAGCTCTCTCTACAGAGGACTACTGGGCGGCCCTCAAGACTTGAAGGACTGCCAGTATCTCACAACTCTCTCACGGGAGTGAGTTGCACTGAGCCATTTGTACTGCTTTATAATTTAACTGTTCATTTCTTGTATTATATATTTATCTATCTGTTTATAATTTAACAGTTCATTTCTTGTGTTATATATCTATCTGTTTATAATTTAACAGTTCATTTCTTGTGTTATATCAATCTATCTAGCTTTAGAAGTATATATATAAAAATATCAGCAATCTGGTTTTATCTCTCTAGAGAACCCTGTCTAACACAATGAGGAATCCTGAAAAAACCAGAGAACTATTGTGTGTTTCATTGGGGCTATACTACGATGCCTTGGTTGACTCATCCCTCTCTTGTGATCCTTCTGTGAGGGGATGACCTATTATTCACAGATGGGGTTTGGCTCTCTGCTTCGACTCCCCTTGTTCTCAGCAATTTGCTTTGTTTTGGGTCTTTTGGTGCCTGTTACCTGATTCTGTTGACACCTCATGATTGCACAGGCTGGTGTGCTTTTTCCATGTAGGCTTGTTGCTTCTCTGCTAGATGGCTACTTGTTTAACTTCAAGACTTTCAGACCCCAGATGCTATGCCTTTTAAAAAAAATTTCTATTCTTGTTTTTTTGTTTTTCTTGTTTTTTCTTGTTTTATTCATATATCATTTTATTAAAAACATCTTTAAAAAATACTTTTATTGGGGGCTCTGACATCTCTTATCACAATCCATACATTCCTCCAATGTGTCAAGCACATTTGCACATATGCTGCCATCATCATTTTCAAAACATTCTCTTCCCACTTGAACTCCTGATATCAGCTCCCCATTTCTTCCCTGCCCTCCCCCTCCCACCCTCCCTCACAAACCTTTGCTAAGTTATAGATGATTATTTCCATATCTTACATCGTCCTCCATCGCCCCTCACCCACTTTTCTGTTATTTGTCCCCCTGGGAGGGGGTTCAAGATTGATCGAGTGGCTCTTTTTACCTTCCACCCTCCCTTAATCCTCCTGATATCGCTACTCTCCTTATTGACCCTGAGGGGTTAATCTATCCTGGATTTCCTGTGTTGCGGGCTCTTATCTGTAGCAGTGTGCATGCTCTGGTCTACTCTGATTTGTAAGGTAGAATTGAGGTCATGATAGTGGGGGAAAGGAAGCACCAAAGAGTTAGAGGAAAGTTGTGTGTTTCATTGGTGCTTTACTGCACCCTGATTGGGTCATCTCTTCCCTGTGACCCCTCTGTGAGGGGATGTCCAATTCAGATGGGCATTGGGTCTCCACTCCATGCCCCCCCTCCCCAAATTCACCTTGGGTATGGTTTTATTCTGGGTCTTAGATGCCTGATACCGGATCCCATCGACACCTTGTGATCACACAGGCTAGTGTGCTTCTTCCATGTGGGCTTTGCTGCTTCTCAACTAGATGGCTGCTTGTTTATCTTCAAGCCTTTAAGACCCTAGATGCTATATCTTTTGATAGCTGGGCACCATCAGCATTTTTCACTATATTTGCTTATATACCCATTTTGTCTTCAGCGATTGTGTCGGGAGGGTGAGCAACACAGAAAGCCAGGTTGTTAGAACAAAGTGTCCCTGTGTTGAGGGAGGGCTTGAGCAGAGGGACAGAGTCTGTCCACTTCCTCAATGTATTTCCATATAAATATATGTACGTAGGCCAATACCTCTAGTTGTATGAATTAATATATTTACCTAAGTGCACACCTATGTTTATACCTCTATCCATAGCTTTGCTTCCCGGATCTTTCCTCTGTTTCCTTTTGTCTTCTTCCTGCCCCACCTTCACGCTCACCCTTCTGCCTCTTAGTGATTCCTCTCAGCTAGAATGCCGTTGCTCTAACACCACTGGGATCTCTACATCCTCCTCGTTGTTGCTTTTAATTCCCTAGTTGTTCCCCTATCTGTGGCACTGTTGGCTCACCGCTCCTTTCTCCCACCTCCTCTTCCCCCAAGGTCCCTCTGGAACCTTCAGTCCCATTACTTTCTCCTCGGGCTTGCTTCCCATGTCTGTCTTATATTGGTAGGCAAAACAACAATAACAGAGATAAAACAAAAGATTGAATAAAAAGAGAAAAAAAGAAAAAGCATACATAATTCCAGGTCTGTCTGCTGACCTTATGACTATCTCCCCACAGGTCCTCCTGTGTGTGTGTGTGTGTGTGGGAGGTGTATTCCAGGAACTGCCTCTTTTAGCCTGATGTCTATTTTGGGGGCTCCTCGGGCTTTGTGGCTTTGCTTTGTTCCTGTTGCTTATCTGTTATGTTCCTTTCTTGGTTGCCCCTTTCACTTTTAAGATAAAATCCCATGTCTAAAAATTAGCATTAAGACTTGGTTCTAGGCATGGGAACTTATTAACTGTAGTAACACAATCATGGGGTCCTTCATCATCAGACAAGGATAACAAAGCTGTTGAATTGAGAGTGGTACAAGGATGTGCACTATAATATGTGAAGGAGAAAGTAACGGTCTTTCAAAATTAGTGTCTTAGACTGAGTTATCCAGAGAAGCAAAACCAATGAAGTGTGTGTGCGCGCGTGCGTGCGTGCGTGCGTGCGTGCGTGCGTGTGTAATCAAGAATATGGATCACACAGTTGTAAAAGTGGATGCATCCAGAAAAGTTCCAAGCCCATGGGTCATATGTTAAGCTGGAGGCTCCTCCTGATTCCTGTAGCTGTGTGAACTGATGATCCCAAGATTGACAGGTTAAATGGTAGCTGACTGATGACACACAGGATTGATAGGCAGACCATTGACTCCAATCTGAAGAACCGAAGGTTGATGAATCAGATGCACAACAAAGTCCCAGCAAATAGCAATCAAGCTTTTCCACAGTGTTCACTTTTATTGGAAACAGACCGCATACCTGAGGAGACTTCCTTTTCATTTGTTGGCAGTTCGTAGCAGATCTCATTATGAAAGTGATTACATTGTGTTAGAGCCCACCTTGTAGGATTACTAGATCTTAAATGACAAGCCACTGAAAATCCTAGCCCAGAGAAGTAGATGGAAAACCTTAATTATTACATTTAGCAAACTGACTAGAAGAAAAATGTCAGGTTGTTTTTACTTAGCAGTAAGGATTATACTCTTGGTGGTATTATCTGGTTTAAAAGTGATCTTAGTACAAGACCTGAATATCATGTTGATTTTAACAGAGGCTGCGGATACGCTGAGACAAAGAAGAGATAAACCTTAGCTACTGACTATAGAGATAGCCTAAGATAGGCTGCAGATACCTGTGTGGACTGTGTTGTTGACATGTTAGGCTGGATAATTCTTTGTTGTGAGGGCTGCCCTGTGTATTGAAGGATAGTTACCTTGGCCCAAGTAGATAGCAATGGCAACCCCCAGTGTGTTCCCAGATATTGCCAAATCCACCCTTGTGGCATAATCATCTCCTGGTTGAGAACTACTGCCCTAGAGCATGACCTAACCTTAAAGGCACATACAAAAGCATATATGAAATTAGGGAACTTTGAGGTGATTGCCTAGGAGTATTCTGAACCACTGGAAATTTTTTGATTATTGCGTTCCATGATCATGGTTCTGAGACATTTGATTTCATTGAATCATACAGCCTCGCTAATTCACAAAAATTTGCTATCCACTGTCTACACTATCCAGTTAATCACAGAAGTTCTCTTGTCTTTCATTGTTTTTAGGTCATTTGTAATCGTCCCTCAGCTAATGCCCATCCTTCAGCCAACAGATTATGGTGTAGATAAGAAATGTTTTTATTTTGCAGAACTGGAGTTTTTCTTAGAAGCTTCATGTCCCTTTCTAGCTATCTCAGTCTTAGAGTTTTCCACACGAACAGAGCATAAGAGCAGCTTATCCACATACTGGATCAGCGTGAACCCCCAAAGGCTCCATGTGTACTGAAGAGCTTGGCTTAACACTTGGGGGAAGTAAGAAAGAGCTTCAGTGAATCCTTGGGGGACAAATCTCTCCATCTGTTGATTTTTTTCCCTAGGCGACAGAGAACCTCAGGATTTCAGGTGAGACAGAGGAGGGCAGAGGTGAGGTACTGCAGGGGAATGAGATGTAATTACACAGTTGCTATCTGATTAGAGATCTTGGAAAAAATCCATATCCTCAAGAGTTAAGGTTTTTTTGTTGTTGTTGTTTTAAATAAAACAAAAACAGGTAACATTTGGGACTGGTGTAAGGAGCAGTATAGTCCTTTGCTGTTTAGCTGGCCACATTTGGCCTTAGGCCTTCCTGGACTTCAGCTCTAGAAAGTATTGAGGAAATCTGGATAACAGTGGAGAAGAATCTTTCTGGTCTCTCTTGGCCTTGATTCCAGGTGTTTTGCTGTGTCCCATGGGCTCTTGGACTGTAGTTAATTCTTTGGTTGCTTCTTGACTCAACTGAACCCACGGTCATGGAGTCCATTTCAACTCACAGTGGCCTGTAGGGTTTCTGAGACTGTGAATGTTCTTGTTTTGTTTTTTAAAACATTTATTAGGAGTTCTTACAGATATTATTATAATCCACAGTTTATTAGATCAAGCATAATTGTATAATTTCTGCTTTTATACTTTTCTTTTTTCCTTGAACTCCTTGATATTAGCTCCCCTTTATCCTCTCAGTATATTATATATTAATATCATTATTATTAGCCTTTACCTACACTATCTCATGTATCAATTCTTCTTAAATTCTGATGTTCATTCCTTTCAAGTGGGATTATACAGTCATCATAGCTATCTGTTCTCCCTTCTCTCCTTACCCCCACTCTCTTCCTGTATCCTCCGGAAGTCAATAATCCCCTTACTGTTTCTGAGGGGGTAATCTATCTTGAATATCGTGCATCAAAAAATCTTGGTTGTACCCACGTACATACGCAGGACTAGCAAGATGAGTGAGGTAACACTAGGGCCATGATAATGGGAGAAGGAACTTTGAAAGAACTAGAGGAGATTGGTGTGTTTCATCAGTGCCCTACTGCACCCTGGATCTGTCATCCTTCTGTGTGGCCCTTCTGTGAGGGACT